ACCGCCTCGCCGCCTTGCGGGTCAAGCTTAGGCAAGCCGAAGGCTCCGGTTGTGGATTCCCCAAGAAAGTTCACCTACCTTGATCTGGGCAACCTGGCAGTATTCAGCCCACGTGTAAATCATGTAACGTTTTTCTTTTTACAAAGATTATTGTACCATTACGTTTTTGGCACACAGTCTGGCTTCAGACGTGATATATATATATATATATATATATATATATATATATATATAGCGAGCCATCGGGTTCTGTTATCGTATTCCAGATTTGGTTGTCGTCTTCAAACAGCATTGTTTTTGGCCCTAACACATTCGGCATATGATTTATGTATGTGAGGAAAAGTGGGGGACCAAGCAGAGACCCTTATGAAACACCGTGGGTAACGTTGATAGAACCGGATAGGGAATCAGTAACACGGAGTGATGTAGTCCGTTGTCGGAATAATGCTCTGATCCAATCAAGTACGAAACCTCGAATGCCGTAATTGCAGGGATTCTGTAACAAAATTTAGTTATTTATCCGATCAAATACTTTCGAGAAGTTCAAATAAATCGCATCCACCGCATCCCCTTCGTCGACTGTTCTGGTTCATTCATCTCGAACGTGAAGCGAGTTGGTGGAGCAGGATCACTTTTGCCTGAACTCATGTGGAACTGTCGAAAGTTTGTTGTATCTTCNAACAGGGAATCTGCCACAATTGACTCCCCGACTTTTGGTAAAACCGGAAGAAGGGTTACAGGTCAGTCACTACCACGATCACCTTTGTATATGGGTGAAATCACTCCTTGTTTGTACGATTGTGGGAATATTGTTTAGTCGAACATCCGTTGGAGTAGAATGGCTCGTGATTCGCCAAAAAAGGTTTCGGGTGTATATTTTCCGCACATGGAGTAGCGTTTTTCCGCAAAGCCGTTAGTTTTGTTCTGACGTTTTCAGCAGTAAATGCTACCTTGGTCAGCGAATGATATGATAAATATGCAACCGGGGAGGTAGTTGTGGTGCAGCAAAAACTTAGGAATACTGAGTTTTCAGTATTTCATCTGCTTCCGTTGGAGTGATTGCAACTCTCTTAGCGCAGCTCAGTGCCTTCCGGATTAAGTTAACGTGCTTACACAATAAGTTAATGTCAGGGATAAATCTCTGTGCTAGCTCCTCTTGGTACATCAGCTTATCCTCACGAATCAGCCTGGTGCAGTGGTTTCTCAGCATACGCCAATTATTCCAAGTAGCGACATGCGGAAAACGTTTATGATCTCGTCAGGATAGATCCCTCAGAGATACCCATTAGGAAACCCACTGAGTAGAACTCGCCAAGTTTTGACACCGTGTATGATTTATGAATCTGTGCGTGTTACCCGGAGAACTTTCGTGAACAGAAGCGTAACTAATATATTTGAATCTAAGTACTGCATGATCACTGCGTCCTAGAAGGGGGAAGGGAGTCACATTGAAAGGTTGAACTATCAGCTCTTCGTTTGTCTATACTGTATTATTGATGGTGACTGCAGGTTTCCAAACCTGGGCACATCCTTCTCATAGTTGTACAGTGGATGAGAGTCTACCAGTCGTTTGATCTGATGTTTAAATAGTGAACGGACGGTCGTTGATTTATTGAGATCGGGGCATTAAGAGATCATGAATGCTACGTAGGTTGACCAATGCAGTCATCCTCGCGAATCACTGCACTCGTTTGGGTTAACACTTTGGCTTTGTGGGTTTTCGGCCGTCGTTTTTCAAACATGCACTCTTTTTTCTCCATTCTAAGTAGCCTCGGTGGGATGCGAAGCCGTCTATGGGCACAGCCTACGTCCTTATACGGCGTACGCTCGAGGTGCAGAACCTTTCTGGGTCACTTCCGTTGTCTCCATGTTGTTCTTTTTTGTTGTCTGCAGAAGGAGACGTGTGTTATGTTACGCAATGCGCTTACCCCAGGTGCATTCAATTTTGTGATGTTCTACATGTAGTGTATTTCTGATAACCATTTACGAACGATGCATAAATGTGTGTGTCACGGATCCAGCATGTTCCATGAAAACTGCTTTGATCTGGAACAACCAATTCGAACAAGGATAGCCGAACCCAGGTGATTGGTCCGAACTACCAACCAATCGTCTGGCTTGCACATTCCCATGTCCTCCCTCTGTCCTATAAACAACCATGATTTTTGCATACCTAATGAATTTCTATATGCTTTCAGCTGTATTCTTTTTCACTGTCTTTGGAGTCTCTATCTGGACGAGAAACTCCTATTGAAAATGATAATNTTTGAGAATCCAGTATCGAGATAATTCATTGCGGTTATGGCTGTATGACCTAGTTCTTTCGGTTGTTCTCTGTCATTTGCATCTAGTTCTGTAGATTTCGTTGTTTACTGAGTCGCATTATCATATTTGCAAATTGCATAGATTTATTCACTTTTGTTTGACCTCTCTAATTTTTTATGATAGCTCCCTATTATCCGCAATCTATGCGACGTCCAAACACTGGAACTGCTCCATTCCCACCTCGTGCAATGTTTGGTGCTGGTCAACCGCCAGGACGCAGCCCTCACAACATGCACGTGGGTCCATCATTAGGGATTTATCCGAACACTCCTCAATCGAACAACAGTCTATCATCATCATCCAATCGCCCCAGGCGTCACGGGATTCGGCTGGAACAGAATCAGCCGTCCAGTCCCCCCACGGGAGCGGTCACCTCAACCGAGTGGACCGTGTGCACTCCGACTCGTCAACCCGCGTCGCTTGTGTGGTTGCTCAATCTGGCCAAATTGCTTCGTGTGGCCTCAGTGACAGCACTAGCTCATGCGTTGCCTTCGCTGACCCGAGGAGGACCGTCGGACCGGGTCAATGTGGATCGTGTACTTGCCTGTGCCATCGATCCTCGACAATTGTCCACAGAGAGCCCTATTCTGGTTCACTTGGCCACGGAAATGTTACTCACAGCACCAGGTAGTTCCCCGCTGTCTATGCGTGTTTTCCATCAACTAAAAATTGAACCAGTTCACGTTCACTTGCTACATAGGTGAGCATTGAGGGATACTTGTTTGATCGGGTGGAAGCAGCCCGGGAGAGCGTAGCACATTTTGAGGTTGGAATAAACAAACCGTGGCAACGAAGCGCAGCACCCAGCTAGACACATGTGACCTATTAGTGGTACAAAAGCTTAAGGATTTGCGTAGTGCACAAAGCAGACATGCACTGGCTGTGTGGATAGCGCTGATACATCTCAGTTGTGGTCAGAGAACCTGGCAAGGTTTTTTTATTATATACATTTGTGTGATGAATATCAGACAGGGCGAACCCCATAGTCACGAAGACCTGCTGCTCCGTCATGGAAACCGGCAACCTAAGCTCCGGGACTTGGAGTGATGAACCACATAAGGCCTCGCTGGTTAAGGTGTGGTATTGAACAGGAATACAGCAAAGCTGTCTACCACCAAAGTTGGGTAGCGGTGGCGGGTCTCGAACCTCGGACCATAGGGTCCAAAGCATGCCAGCGATAGCGACTAAACCACTGCACCATCACCACCCTAATGCTACGTAGCAGTAAAGTGCCTAAACTTTCTTTTTGAGTGTCAATGGCATAGACGGACCGAAAGAACGAGGCGTGTAGTATTTTACAAACAAGCTGGAATGATGTGCACGGAAACGTGATGTCTACCACAGGGTGCATCTATCACTCCATTCTGTCCACACCTGTCCTGTCAACGATGCTGGTTCCAGACACCCATAGTTCGGTGTAAGCGACGATTTCAAAACTATTCTGCTATTCGTTCCGTCTTATCACCCCTCAGTACGCCGACTGGTTTGAGAATTCGGGCGCAAATGAACATCGGGTAACCGAAGCTAAATATCGATGCACAGGAAAAGTGCAAGGCTGATTACAGTTCTCAGAGCAGACATCGAAACTGAGTTTATTAAAAAAATCACGCGCAGACCAAATGGTTTTTAAATCAATTTGACACAGAATACGCTCGTGGACGTATTTAGGGTGAGAGTGTCAATATTCAATTTTGCTGGCAGATATCACAAACGGGTTTGAACAGAGTGGTATCCTATCTAGCAGGTAATCAGCTGATAATGAACAGTAGCAAATGTCCATAGCTCAAACAACGAATGCTACCGGTTGTTCCTTTCTCGCTCTACCGTATACTGGTAGGTCTCCGACTATTCTCTTACCTGTGCTGTTAACAAAGCTCCATTCGTAGTTCAGTTCATTTAAATTTCTACAACCATTAACCATGCACTATCGTGCCCCATTCGTAGCCTTCCAATCAATGGTTTTCTGGTATACATAATTTCAGACTTAAGGATAAGTAGATATTGCAGTTGAACGAGAAAGAAAAGAATCATTTACTGGCGATGGAAATATTTGTGATGACCGGCTAGCTGTTTCGTCCTGTTTGGGACTCGTCAGCGGTGCGTAGATTTTGTGTCCATTACCAGTGCCTGATACCTCTGAGGAATCGAATGCGCGAATCAAAACTTGATACTGTAAATTGATTGAGCCATAAGCACAAGATGATGACCGTCGACCGTATCGCTCAGGGGTAAGAGTTTGAAGTCCTTACCCCAGTGTTTGTGGTTCGAATCCTGATAGCGACACAAAACGTACGCATTGCTAACGAGTCCCAAACAGGACAGGTAGTTCCATCATCATTAAGTGCATTCAATTAGTGGGGAATTAACGATCCCTCAAGGAGTGAAACCCACACCAAAGACGATCGAGAGTGCCTGGTGCCTCTGCACAATTCAATGGGCTAATCTAAACCTGATACCATTTAGTTTTCAGGGGTGAGGGCATGTCTTGTTCAATTTGATGAGGTGAATTGAATCGGTCCTTTTGTCGTCATTTCCATGATCGAACTTGTCTGAAAATTTCAACTGGACCTCTAACTTGTTTCTGTACATCGACTCATGCAGAATGTGTATTTTAATGCCATGTTATCACGACAGTGTATCTTTTGCGTTCACAAAATGTCTTTTGTGGTTTCTGTCTCTTTGTAATTTTAGCCGGTGCTGGTTACAAAAAACTGCTCACCTTCTTGTTGGAAACGGTCTCGGAACCAGACACATACACTGTCCTCCAGCCGTTGGATTCCAAACAATCGGATGCATCCTTGTCCACTATTCGATCAATTTGTAGACGTCTTCTTCAA